ACTTTCTTTTTATTATCGAACTGGGTGTGGGTGTGGGTGAGGTGTGGATGTGGGTGAGGTGTGGGTGTGGGTGAGGTGTGGGTGTAGGTATTGGTGTTGATGAAAAGGGCACTCACACCCACACACCCACAAGTTACTTCAAACATTTAATGAAAATAGTAGTTTTATTTTGAAATTTCAATTTTGCGTATAATGGTACTCCAATATCATGGAAAAGTAAAACTTCGACTTTATTAATACATTCTATTCCACGTAGAAGAAAAAACACAAGAGAAAAGTACAAAAAGAGCGTCATTATTGAGATAACAAACAAGAAAATTGCACTAATTGAAAAGAAGGATTTGAGAGCAACAGAGATTATCATTATAATCCAAGTATTTTAACGAAAGCTATTATTTATTCTGATTGATATAAGTACCTTGATCAAGGGGGAACAAACTGATTTCTAATAACAGAAATCAATTTGAAATCATCAGAAATCATTGGAAACCATTAGAAATCGTTGGAAATCATTAGAAATCATCAGAAACCACTAGAAATCATCGGAAATCATTAGAAATCATTGCAAATCACTAGAAATCACTAGAAATCATTGCAAATCACTAGAAATCACCAGAAATCACTTGAAATCATCAGAAATCACTATATAGAAATCACTAGAAATCATTAGAAATCATTAGAAATCATCAGAAATCACTAGAAATCACCAGAAATCATCAGAAAACATCAGAAATCACTAGAAATCACTAACAATCACGAAATCGAGAAATCAGTTTGTTCTCCCTTGCTTCAGATTTGGTTTTATCAGAATTCATTGATAATCGATCTCTTTTTTCAATTTTCAAACAAATTAAAATACTCAAAGCAATAACAGAAGATGGTTATGTTCGTTCAAATTTTACATTAAAACTTGTTCAACTTTTTCCATCACTTACTAATATTGAACTTCAAGTGTTATCATTCAAAGATTGCATATGTGCTATTGATATATTACTTAGTCATCTAGAAAATTTGTCTTATCTTAAAATTTATTATATTCAAGTTTCATCACTCGATCATCCTTTTTCACGTAATTATATTGTTGATAAACGTCGTCAAGCGTTTCGTTTTAATATTATCAATGAACATAAGATTACAGTTAGCAGGAATGAAACATCTGTAGAAATTAGATTATCATGATTTTATATGTATATAGATTTTTGTGTAAATAAAGTTGAAATGAAAATATGTTTTTTTAAGTCATTTTTATTTGAAGTGAGTAAAGATTATTTTTGCTTTTTTTCTATGACTGCGAAGGTTAGATCAATATTCAGGTAAACGTGATACATTATCTGAAATGTTTTCAAAATAAAATCTTCAAAAATAAGTCTAACATTTGATTATTTCCTTGAATAATTATTCGATTTAATTACCTACATTGAAAATGATTTAAACACATTTCGATTAGTTAGGAATCGACAACTAAATTTTTATTCGTTTGTATGTATTTATATAATCAGTAGGTATGTCGATCATGATCATTGATACTTGAAACATATTTCTACATATGTATTCGTCCTTATTATTTATTGATCAAGCTAATCGAGAGATTTTATTGATATAATGTGTTGTACAAATTAGTCATAATATTTTGTTGGTAATTACATCTAGGGAACATGTAGAAGTCGTTGACATATTCATTTCGGAAAAGTTATTTAGGAAGTATTGAATCAATATCTGATATCGGTATTGTTCACATCTATTTTTCTTTTCTCTAATAATTTATTTTCGTTGAATAACAGAATTAAAAATATGCAATTATGAGATTTCGAAATATCTATCAATCCTGAAAGGAAGTAGCATCCACATGCTCTCCTCTTCCCTCTCACTACTGTGTTTTTCTCTTTAACGATCTTTTTCTTGTGATTGATGTTAACCTTCTATTATAATATTATTTATATCTCATCTATATTTGCATAACTAATTACCAAATCTTCACTGTATACAGAAGCAAAAATGTTCTACTAAGTAAAAGTACAATCATCTTCAGGTATTTATTTATTTATTAACGAGTACTACCTATCATAAAAATGTCTCTATTATATACTGATTTTTCGTTAGATCCTCAACACTATTTAATCGATAACTTTATATTACTTTTTGTGTTGAGGGTGATATTACGGTATGAGAAACTCTCAAACAAATCCTGGACATTTTAAGAGGTGGTCGATGAGCGAACCAAGGCACCGGTGAAAATTTATATTTTTGATTTTTGATTTACGTTTGAACGGCCATTATCTGAAACTATCAAATCGCAATTTTTAGCTCATTTGGATGTTCTATAATAAAGTTAATCTATGTCGACTTTTCAGAATTATTAAGAAACAATCATAAATCATTTTATAAATGTCAACAGGAATTATACGTCAAGAAGTCAAAGAACTTTTTTATGAAATATACCAAAAGATAAAGCATCAAAAGTTGAAGAAAAATGAGTTATTTAAAATATTGTATATCATCTATTTACTAGTGGTATATAGTCCGACATGTGACAATTGATCATTCTATACTTCTGATTTTTGCCACTATCTCTGCTGCCAGTCTTTGAAATCAAACAGGATCAAGCTTGGTTTGTGTTTCTAAGAACGAAGTCAGAAACTGACATCCGTAGTTGTGATTATGATTCCAAGTTTTATCGAATTACATGATCATTACTCCATTACATCAAGACAACATTTTTCTCAAAGTTTCCGTAATACCCCTCAGAGGTATAGGGAAGCCGAAACTTTTTTCTGTTGTCAAGAGAATCGTCTATGCCATTTTAAGCAGAATGAAGTCCTATTTTCTTCGAGATAAAAATTTTAATCAATGATAGACATTGGAAAGTTCTCAAGCTCATTTTTCGTGAGACTGTTTACCGGGCTACTAACAATGTAAGTCTCATATTATGTCAAAGGTAAACTTTTTTTTCAATATGTTTTTACGATTTTATAGGGAATCAAAAGTTACACTATATAGAAAAACTTCAGTTTGACCCCGTTTGATTTCAAAAAATGGCAGCAGAGATGCTGACAAAAATTGGAAATATTTAATGATAAATTGTTACATGTCGCACTATATAACACCAGTAAATAGATGATATACAATATTTTAAATAACTCATTTTTCTTCAGCTTTTCATGCTCTATCTTTTGGTATATTTCATGAAAAAGTTCTCTGACTTGTTGACATTTATGAAATGATTTATGACTATTTCTTAATAATGCTGAAAAGTCGATATAGATTAACTTTAGTATAGAACGTCAAATTGAGCTAAAAATTCCAATTTGATAGTGTCAGATTATGGTCTTTCAAATACAGATAAAAAGTCAAAAATTTGAATTTAAACCGGTGCCTTGTATACTGGACCGATCCTTGATCCACACATGGACTCTCTCTTAAGAGAGCGACCTTGACAAGACCGAGAAATCGGGGTACTGGTGAAAATTTAAATTTTTGACTTTTTATGTGCGTTTGAAAGGCCATTGTCTAAAACCATTAAACCCAAATTTTCAGTTCGTTTGGATGTACTATAATAAAGTTAGTCAATACAGACTTTAGAGCACCACCAAAGTACTATCAAAAAAATAGTCGAAAATCGTAGTAAAAATGTATATTAGGATTATAGTTCAAAAAGACAAAGAATTGTTTTACACAATTTTTTAAAAAATAGAGCATGAATTGCTGAACAAAATCTATTATTTAAATTATTATATATAGTCTGTTTATTGAGTTTTTGTAGTCCCACATGTATGAGAAGTGGCATAATTTATGAGCACAAAACATTCGATTTTTAACAGTATATCTGCTGCCATTTTTGTAAGTTGCATGGATCCAAGCTGAATTTTTTATGTGTACGCGTATTTCGATTCTCTACAAAATGGTAAAAAAATATTGAAAAAAGAAAGTTCACCCTCGAGTCAAAACCTAGTGTATAATTGTCTCGCACATAACTATTTTTGAAGATTATTCAGAAGAAATAACACTTTTTTAACAATTTCCATTGGCAAGACACGGTCATAAAAGAAAATAAATGTGATATTTGAAATCAGCTTGAAAAACTACATCGAATTAAATAAATTCTAGATAATTTTATTTTCTATGAATAAACTGACCCCTGGGGACCATAGGGCAAAAGTTTAATGAAATACATCTGTGGGGGACCACAAGTGATTTTCCTACAGTTTATTCGATTCGATGTAGTTTTTCACGCTGATTCCGAATATCACATTTATTTTCTTTTATAACCGTGTCGACCAACGTGAAATAGAGTACATCGTTGTACGTTAATGAGCATTATATACTGATTGTCTTTAAAACCAAATTAATGTTAGTTGGTCTCAAGTGAAATCTGGAATAATACAGAATTCATAAGGGTCGAAAAGCTGAAGTTATAAAGGAAGAGACGTTTGACCACTATCCTATCTTATCAAGGTACTTATATCAATCAGAATAAATAATAGCTTTCGTTAAAATACTTGGATTATAATGATAATCTCTGTTGCTCTCAAATCCTTCTTTTCCATTAGTGCAATTTTCTTGTTTGTTATCTCAATAATGACGCTCTTTTTGTACTTTTCTCTTGTGTTTTTTCTTCTACGTGGAATAGAATGTATTAATAAAGTCGAAGTTTTACTTTTCCATGATATTGGAGTACCGTTATACGCAAAATTGAAATTTCAAAATAAAACTACTGTTTTCATTAAATGTTTGAAGTAACTTGTGGGTGTGCGGGTGTGGGTGCCCTTTTCATCAACACCAATACCTACACCCACACCTCACCCACACCCACACCCAGTTCGATAATAAAAAGAAAGT